ACGAAACGCTGCCGAGACGACGACGGCGCACGCCATCATATGAAAGGAAGACGCACATAGACTTTTTGGTTGTGGATAAGAATTTTCTTAATGGGCTTTTATAAGGCCCAATTTCAATTTATTTATACTGTAATCTTTTTGGACCACAACAACGGTTTTCACATCAACCGGGAAAAACCGGTTATTTTTTCGCTCGAAACCATCAAACCAATAAATGTTACGGGACATTATGATCTCTCTCATTCTCCAACTTCCCGACGCCGGTCTGTAGTATCTGTTCCTCCGTCCGGGAAATTAGCCGGCGCTTCTTGAGCCGTCGCTGCGTCTCTCGCCGGAAATCCGACCTATTATCCTCTCTCTACTCGCCGGCGAAGGTGAGCTATTATTCTTCGTTTCAGGTCTTAAGATGATTTGCCAAAATTAACTGTAAATCCCTGAAACAAGCTCTACAAATTGATATGCTAGGGTTTCTAATTCAGCTTCGTCTCTGTTTAGTTTCGTTCCCGTGTGTTTCTTCCGAGGAGAAATCGTGATTTCGCAGCCACCGTTTCGTGAGTTTGAACTCTTGTGGATTTGGTCGCTTTAGGATCTTGCTACTTGCATTCTTTCTTTTTATTTTTGTTGTTTGAACTCTGGGATTTGACAATCCCTCCTGCGTGGGAATTTGGTATAGGGTTTAGTTGAAGCATTTTTTGTATGATGGGATGGTTTGGAGCTACTCTTTGTTAAATGATTCTCCGGTGCATTGTTTTGGAATATGTTATATTGTCACATGTGTTGAATTAGAGCTAAATTCGTAGGAAGATTGCTTGGAAATATATATATACTGCTTTAGATGTGATTTATGGAAATCCAAAATATGGTGAACAGATTGATGATCAACTTCTCTGCATTTTTTTAAAAGGATCTTGGTGAATAGAGAGCTCATTGAAAGCTAAGATGGGAGAAATGGTAAATCACACACCTTTTCAGTTTTCCAATTGTCATGTTGAAAAGTCGGATTCTATAAAATTTGCTTTTACTGCAATAGATTGTTTCTCTAGACGAAGATATCAGACTGGATACAACACGAGCAAGATGTGAGTAACAGCTTGTTTCCTGTGGGTTATGTCTTTTTGATTTATAAAATATTGGTCAAGTACTCCTTTTCATTGCAATAGTTAATCTCTATCCCTTTTTCCTAGTCTCAAGTCTTCTCAAGAGGCATCGAGAACTGACAGGCCGTCTTTCTAGGTACTAGGCTTGCTTCTGAATTATAGTTCACTTCTCAATCATTTTAAAGCTAACTTTGCATTTGGTGATCATTTATTTTAGGGATTCTGATAAGACAATATTTGATCGGTTAAGCAAAGAATTTGAAGCTGCAAGGACATCGCAAATTCAGGGTGGGTATGGATAGCCAAATTGCAGGATTCTTCATTAGCATTATTCAAACACTGTGCTTGTGGCAGTATTTTAGCTTCATAAGTGCATACTCATCCGTTTTTCTTTCGTAATCAAATGGTCCACTCTCTTCTCTTCTCTGCAGAAGTCTGCTTAGATGGGGAAGAGTGGAATGATGGTTTATTGGCTACACTAAGGGAACGGGTATGGCATCTATCATCTATTTTTCAAAAGAGGTGTTCTCTTTAACAAGGGCAGATCTCTATCAATTATTTTATTCTGAATCTTTAATGCCATCTTATTCTTTTCATATGTTGATTTTTATTGACCTTTTCTTGAATTTGCCCATGAACTGTAGGTGCATATGGAGGCTGACAGAAAGCCAGATAACGGTAATGCAGGTTTTGGACTACTTTCTCATCCTGAAGAACGAGTTACTTACAGAGTGGGAAACAAGGTACCTTCTCAGATCTTTGGGTAGTCCAAATGAAATCTGTAATTTCGGCCGTTCATCTTGGCCTGATGCATTGTTTGCCTTAATGCTAGATCCAGTCATACGTGTAACAAAATAAATCCCAAAGTAAATCGCATGAAGTTATTAACTCATATTGGTTGTAAATCTTTGTTGAAGGATTCTGATGTTATGTTAACTTAGAAGTAGTTATGGCCTCTCACTTTGAATTGATATGGTGTCGTTCCTAGCTCATATATTGGATTCTTTAATTAAACAGGTTATCTTTTGCCTAGAGGGAGCAAGAATTGGGATACAGTATGAAACATCTTTTGCAGGTATTTTGAACTGTAAATGGTATTTGTCGTAAGTTCTAAATGTTGCAGTTTACTTAAATTGAATGGCAAATTACATGCATACGAAAACATAGCTATTTGTTTTTCAGTGGCTTCTTACCTCCTGGGGTGTCACTGGGATTTTTGCTGACCCTTTCCTTCCCTGTATGATTTTGTTTTGATATAGGAGAGACTTACGAGCTTTATCATTGTGTGCTTGAGAGCAAGTCGTTTCTGGAAAAGATGACTGTACTTGAGCACACAATTCCATTCTTTTTGCCACTACGTGACTTGGAAAGTGATCTTCTTTGTTCAAATGCCAAGGTAGGCATGATTGCTGGATCCATTACTGATATTTAACTTGCTTTGATGTTGTTGTACCTGATCGTCAG